ATTTAAAGAGAGTTTTTAAAAAGTCATTTTGGAATTCTCTGGTTGACTGAAAAAAAACAAACTTTCCATTGTTTTCTGGTAAACTTGAGTTCCAATTTTGATAGTCCTTTGGCTTAAAAGAATTCTATGAAAAATGTTTTTTCTTTCTTTCTTTTTCTTTTTTCGATGGATCACTGAGCCACATCCGTAGTCTTTTTTTATTCTTGTTGATGAGGGGGGCCTCACCAAGTTATCTGAGGCTGCCCCGAACATGAATTCCTGTCTCAGCCTCCCAGGTTGTTGGGATTTTAGGTGTGCATCACTGTGCCTGGTATGCTTTCCTTTCTTAAGTAGTAAAATTGAATATAGAATTAGGCCTTCTTGGTGATTGAGGATCATCTTAATATCTAATTGTTTTTCTGCATACACTTAATTTTTTTAAAATATTTTTTTAGTTGTAGATGGACACAATACCTTTATTTATTTTTATGTGGTGCTGAGGATCGAACCCAGTGCCTCACACACGCAAGGCGCATGCTCTACCACTGAGCCACAACCCTAGCCCCAAACACTTAATTTGTGAAGGACTGTATTGAAAGTGTCTAGCCTCTTTACTCTTATTGTCACTTGTTATACTTTTCCTGTGATGAATGCAGCCTTTTTACTGTATATGACTGTGCTCTTGTCCTTTTGTATTTTACCCTTATGACAAATTTGTGTCTGTGAAGCCAGTCTTAACAGGGATGATGGGCTTTTCTTTATTCAAATACTAAGTACTAAGTGATTTGCAACTAAGAATGTTTTACTGTGAATACTGGGAACTGTGCTTTTTTTGCTTTATGTTTTGGTACCTGGATGCTTAACCTCTGAGCCACATCCTCAGCCCTTTTTTATATTTTATTGATACAGGGTTTCAGGGTTTCACTGAATCGCTTAGGGCCTTGCTAAATTGCTGAGGCTGGCTTTGAACTCATGAGCCTCCTCCACTGGGCTGTTTTGTTTACGTGGCTAGCAATGTCAATTTTCATTGTCCGTAAGTGAACTTGTGTTTTTTTGCGGGTAATGTGATATAAATACTAACTTAAAGTTAAATTGCCCCACTTTGTTTTAAAGAGCAAAGGAATACTAATACTGCATATACATAATAATGTATAGGAAATTATTATATTTTAATTGTGGAGCAAGTGGTTTATATGGATATCTGTATACATAGTTGAAGTTAGTTTACTGTAAATACCCAGTATATATTTTGTAATTTTAGTATGAAAGCATGTTGCATTTGTGTCAGTGAGAAATATAAGTTAATTGTATTTTAGCCTAGAATATTTTACTTGTTTCAGTTTGAAGTCGTATGTCTTTGAAAGGTGAGTTTTTCTAAATGCCAATCATTTACAATTTGTAACTCCCAGAACCATATTTTGGTCTTAGGCCAGGAATGATGACACTGTCCTTTTTTGTTTTGTCAAGGTTCAAAATAGGGCCCTTGGAGGGAGTTGCCTCTCTTCATAACACATTCAGATGCTCAAGATGAGTTTGGTGAATCTTGTTAACATGGCAAATCTTAATAAAACCTCAAGTACTCAAGCCAGTAGTGGAAAATGCCTAATATGTTTGTCAATTATGCTTGTAGCATTTAAATTCTGCCTCCAGTACACCCGTAAGGCTGAATTCCGTAAGCTGTGTGACAATTTGAGAATGCACTTATCACAGATTCAACGCCACCATAACCAAAGTACAGCAATCAATCTCAATAATCCAGAGAGCCAGTCCATGCATTTGGAAACCCGGCTTGTTCAGTTGGATAGTGCTATCAGCATGGAACTGTGGCAGGTATGTTGTGGAATATTAGCTTTTTCTTCTAGTAATAATCGGCATTACTTTTTTCCCCTTAGTGAATATCTTCATCTTGGTATGATGGTTATCTGGAGCAGGATGAGTTCTAGACAGGAAGTCTCAGTTTTCAGGCCTGTGAAATTTGAGCCTAGTCATGTAATCTCTTTTAGAGTTAGTTTCTTTTCCTATAAATTGGTACATTTTCAGTGCTGCTCAAAGTGTGTTTCTATGATTGGTGCCAGTCTAAACTGTTTAGTCTGGTGAAATAAGTGTAGAGGAGAAAAGAACTTGCAAAGGTGTTTTGGTTTTGCTTTTTTAGGGGGTGGAGATACAAAGGATTGAACCATAGCCTTGAACAAGGTGAACACGTGCTCTACCACTGTGCTACATCCCCAGGCTCTACAAAGGATTTCCCCCCCTAATTGGATAATGAAAAATGAGTTTATTTTCTTTCACTTTTTTTTTAGAGAGAGAGAGAATTTTTTTAATATTTATTTTTCAGTGGACACAACATGTTTATTTTTATGTGGTACTGAGGATCGAACCCAGCCCCCCGTGCATGCCAGCGAGCACGTACTGCTTGAGCCACATCCCCAGCCCCTTTTTTTCACTTTTGTAGTAACATTATTTCATAGAAGTTTTTGTGGTGACAGATTGGAAATTACTGTTCTTTTAGAGATAGAGAAATGCTGCCCTGGACTTTTGCCTAAGCACTATGGCTTAGGAAGTATGCATGGTGAATACTATATATATAAAAGCTTCTATATATTTGATGCAAAATATTTAATTGTAATTACAAAGGAACAAACTAAAAATTGGGAGTTTTTCAGCCAAGTGAAAGTGTTATTCGATTTCCCATTCTTATTTCATAATGTTTTCCCCTCTATAGAAACATCCATCTTAAAACACTACCTATAGAGGACAAATAAACATACTTATTATAGGAAAAAGGAGATAAGTTAAATGTTCTTCCATTGTCACATCACACAGAAATTACTTGTATTTATGCTGCTGTTACACCTTTTTAGAGTTTTCCTTTATAAATTGCACTAAGTGGTATGATGATATGCGAATATTTGCTGCTTTTAGTCTATTCTATTGTATTTCCTAAAGAATTTTGAAAAATTTGAAAAGTTAACGGTTGTAAATTGTAGTTAAATGAAAAGAACCATGTATGAAGGCAGATTGATGCTTTTAATATTGTGTGTTCTGTGTTTTAGGTTTCATTCAGAGATTTGAACTAGAATTTTTTTTGTTTCCAAATGCAGTGACTAATTTATACTACTAATTCTAGGAAGCATTCAAAGCTGTGGAAGATATTCACGGACTATTCTCCTTGTCTAAAAAACCACCCAAGCCTCAGTTGATGGCAAATTATTATAACAAAGTCTCAACTGTGTTTTGGAAGTCCGGAAATGCTCTTTTTCATGCATCTACACTCCATCGTCTTTACCATCTATCTAGAGAAATGAGAAAGAATCTTACACAAGATGAGATGCAAAGGTAAGAATGTTGTACTTGAAGAGTAGTATTGAAATTATGTATCATATCTTCTAAATGAATGGTATAAATTAGGATTTCTCAGCTTCTGTACTACTGACATTTTGAGCTGAATAATTCTTTGTTGTAGGGCACTGTCTGTGCATTGTAAGATGTCTATCACCGTTACTTAATCTCTACCCATTAGGTGCTAGTAGCAGTCTCCTAGTTGTGACTACCAAAAATATCTCCAGGCATTTTCTTGAATAATACTCTTGGTTCTAGGAGGCATTCTTTATCTGATAGCCAACTCCATTAAAAACCCACATGAGAAAATTGAGTATTAGGGGAGAGAGAGAGAGAGAGAGAGAGACAGTGAACGTTTTATCTGTGTAGATATGTGAGAGACATGAGCCTTCTATGTACAGGTAGTCTATTCTTAGAAAAAAATTAGAGTTAAGATAATTATTGCATCAAGTTATTTTTTTCCCTGATTATACAACCCTAACTGTAGAATACAGATGTTCCTTGACTTAGATGGGGTTATGACCTGAAGAGACTATTGTAAGTTGAAAAGATGATAGTTTAAAAAAAATCATTTAATAACCCTAATCCACTCAGCATCATAGCTTGACAGCATAGTGCATTGCAGGATATCCGTAGTTGACTCTCATGATTGTGTGGCTGACTGGAAGCTGTGGCTCCCTGCCATTTTGAGAACATCAAAGCCTATACCACTAATTTGGGGAAGAAAATCAAAATTCAAAGTACTGTTTCTCTTGACCACACACTACTTTCACATGGTAAAGCCAAAAAATTGTTAAGTTGAAGCATTCTAAGTTAGGCACCGTTTGTATTTGAGAGTTATATACAAACATGAAAATTTATACGAATACAAAAAGAAGTGTCTATAACCTAGCAATTTATAGATTAAATGATTCTTTTTAAAAACACATCATATACAGCTTATTTTCTTTCAGTTACTTCTTTTTTTTTCTTTCGGCAGAAAGAACTCTTTACCTGGGTTTTCTTTTGGGGATTGAACCCTAGACTCTATCACAGAGCTACACAACTCCATACTTCAGTTAATATTTAAAAAGTAATTGGGCACTTCATACGCCACTTATTTCCTTGAATTGGTTGACATTATTATTATTTTTATTATTAGGATTAAAACGAAGGGCTTTATGCATGCAAGACAAGCACTCTACCAATTGAGCTATATCCCTAGCCTGACCATATTATTTTGGTTTTCTGTAGAATTATATATGCCAAATTATTTTTCTTAGAGGTTTATTGCAATGTAAGGAACCAACTAAATCTGTTAGTACTTTGCTACTTTCTTTGAAAATCTTGAGGATAGTATCCATTGTCATTCATTGTTACATAATTCACTATATCAATAGTGAAAAAACATTTTTCCCTGTAAGATACTGATACTGTCCCTTCAGGGAGTACTGTAATAGTAGCAAGCATCAAGTTATTTACTTCTGTGTATGTTATTTGGTTTAATATTCACAAAGACCTTGTGACAAAGTTCAGTATTTTGCCTAAGATTACAATATTGGAAACAGTGAAGCTGAGGCCTCAGAGTCTGAATTCATTGACTTTTGTCTTAATGTTTTAGGGCAAATTCAGCACCCTCCTCACCTGTTGTTTTGGTACTGAGGATTGAACCCAGGGATGCTTAACAACTGAACCACACCCCCAGCACTTAAAAAAAATTATTTTACATATCTCTATATAGACATAGATAAAGAGATGTATAGTGCTGAGAATAAAATCCAGTGCCTTACACATGCCAGGCAAGTGTTCTACCATTGAGCTACAATCCCTGCGGGTCCCCTACTCCCATGTTATATTTATTTGGAGACAGGGTCTTGCAGAATTGTGAAGGGCCTTGTTAAGTTGCTGAGGCGGGCTTTGAACTTGTGCTCCTCCTGCCTCAGCTTCCCAAGCGCTGTGATCACAGAAGTGTGTCATTGTACCTGGCATTAATTTTTTTCTCCTTATTGCCATTTATTTATTGGGTTCACAAAATGTGTCTTTTCTGCCTGTTGGCCGCAAAAAAGCAGCAGCAATAGTGAGTGGGTGGGTTGAAATTGTGATTCCATGAGTATTAATTTAAGCAGGATCCATTTCTCTTTTTATTAATCCCATATGATGGGATAATGTGGGTGTAATGTACATCTTCTGACACTGGCATATCATACTATATGACTAAAGAAAGGTGATTCTGATCTGCTTTTTCTGCTCATCAAGCAACATTTTGACTTAACAGATTTAATCTCTTTACCACAGAATGTCTACCCGAGTCCTTTTGGCTACTCTGTCCATCCCTATAACCCCTGAGCGTACTGACATTGCTCGACTTCTGGATATGGATGGCATTATAGTTGAAAAACAACGTCGTCTTGCAACATTACTAGGTCTTCAAGCCCCACCAACACGAATTGGCCTTATTAATGATATGGTTAGTATCAGTCTGTTTTTACAGCTTTGGACAGAAAACTGATAAAGTTGAAAAATTTGTGATTAAGTACTGGGAATTCTGATTAATTGTCAAAAGGATTCTCATTTATGAATAGGAAACCATTGGTATAAATGGGGTATTTCCAGATGATATTTCCAATAGGTTAAATTGGTGGGAGCTCTGATATAAGAAGACTTGGACTGGTACTGAGGAATATTGTGGGACACTGAGTCCAAGGAAATATAACAATGGGCAAGCATAGTCATATTTCAGGGGGCTATAGGAAAACAAAGCAAGCTGACTCATGTAGCACTTCCACATATGGATGATGGGGCCCAGAGAAAAGGGGCAAGCTTTGGATCTTTTTCTAGACACCTAAGACACTTTTTTCTATTAAAGTTTCATTTTATATGGTTTTGTTTTTGGTACCAGTGATTGAACTCAGAGGCACTTAACCACTGAGCCACATCCCCAGCCCATTTTATATTTTTTAGGAACAGGGTCTCTATAAATTCTTAGGGCCTGGATAAGTTGTCTTTGAACAACTGCCTCAGGCCCTGCTTGGATTATAGGTGTATGGCACTGTGCCCAGCTATTGTTTTATTGCTTTAAAGCTGTGGCTCTTAATCATTGTTATCCACTTAAAGCTGTAAAGTAACAGTTGTTGTGTTCAAAGGATTGTTTCCAGATCCCCTGTGGATACCACAGTCCCTTATTTAAAATAGTGTAAATTTGCATGTAATCTCCTAAAAACTTAAAATGAGCTATAGATTACTTATGATATTTAATGCAAAGTTAGTGCTTTGTAAAAAGTGATTGGTAGCATAGGAATAGGGCTTGATAGTTTGGAATGTACTGTTAAGACTCTTTACAGAACAATGAGAAGAAAATAAAACTACAAGTAGCCAGGAGTGGTATCTCATGTCCACAGTTCAGGAATTTGAGGCTGAGGCAGGAGGATAAGTTTGAGGCCACCCTTAGCAACTAATCGAGGCCCTAAGCAGCTTAGACTCTGTCTCAAAATAAAAAATAAGAGCTAGGGATGTGACTCAGTGGTTAAGTATTCTGTGTTCAATCTCTAATATGGAAAAAAAAAAAAGTACATATATAGCAGAGATGCAGTTTCCCTCCTCCAGTGTTTCCTACATATGGTTGGGTGATGCTGAGGATGTAACTGCCAAATGAATGGAACACTGTCTTGTTGATGGACATTTGAGGTTTCTCTAATTTGGGCCTAATAGCAAGTGTTTCCCTAATTTTTGTGATAATTTGCACAGATTTTTTGTTGGTAATAAATTGTCTATGGTAGCCATATTTGTGCCAGTATCTTACTAGGTTGGCTTAGAGTTATTTCCTTTTTAAGTTATTTTAAGTTATTTCACTATAGACAGATGTATAATGTGGGGCAAGAAAGTCCCCTGGGTTATAGTTTAGATAGATTTAGGTAAACTTTGGTAAATTTAAGGGGGTTCAGGCTTTACAATCTTCAAATCCATTTTACAGATTTCTGACCCCATTGTTTTCTCTAAATTTATACCCCATTAGACTCCTAGTGGAAAATATGCTGCTGTTAAACCTTTTGCTTTGTTTACTATAGGTCAGATTCAATGTACTACAATATGTTGTCCCAGAAGTAAAAGACCTGTACAACTGGCTGGAAGTAGAATTTAACCCATTAAAACTCTGTGAGAGAGTCACTAAAGTAAGCATTTGTCTTTACGTTTTGGTTTTGATACCATGTAGCCGGCATTATTACAGTTTCGGGTTGTATTTATCTTTGTTAAAGATAAGTATTATGTTTGAATCAGTGCACATTTCATTGTCTTTTTTCTTTTATATCAAGAGAAAAGATATTTCTGATGTGCTAAACAAACGTGGAGGTAAATTAGCAGCATGACTGTCTTAGTCATTGCTGTCAGTCACCTTCAGACAAGTATCAAAAACCTTCATGTTAAATTTTCTATTTCTTTGCATTTTATGATGTTTTTGTGTATTGAAAAATTGAAAGCATTTCAGATATTTCAGTATTTGTTTCCTAAAAGTATAATTCTTTCTAATTTAATGGATTTTGTAGGTTTTAAATTGGGTTAGGGAGCAACCTGAAAAGGAACCAGAGTTGCAACAGTATGTGCCTCAACTGCAGAACAACACCATACTCCGCCTTCTACAGCAGGTAAAAATACAAATGCATGTTTTGTGGAGAAAGTGGAATTTCCTTTTTTGAGCATTTCTAGCATTTACTGGAAAAATTTAGAATTGCCCAGGAAGTGAAAGCTTTCAACAGTCCTGCCCCCATCCAAATTAGTCTGATTTGTTTTGAAAACAAAATGAAACAATGTTTACTTACTTTCTTGTTGAACCCTATCATTTTGCATTTTTCTTATTACTAAAGTAGGGTTTGTTTGTTTTTAGTACCAGGGATTGAACCCAGGGGTGCTTAACCACAGAGCTATATCTCTAGTCCTTTTTTATTTTGAGACAGGGTCTCATTAAGTTGCTTAGGGCCTTGTTTAGTCTCTGAGCCTGGCTTGGAACTCTCAATCCTCATAATTCAGCTTCCTGGTTGCTGGGATTACAGGCCTGCACAACCATACCTGGCTAATGTAGGGCTTTCTTATTTCTTTCATACCTATGTGTTTTTTTTCATAGCCAGGCGGTATCATGGTGTACTTATTAGTGAAAACCTGTTTTTATAGGTTTTTTCCTGTTAGAAAATGTCACAGCATTGTGCTTCTTGCATATACCTGTCTTTCCATGTGCATGGGATTTTCTTTAGCATAAGTAGTGGAATTGTCTTACACAGTGACACAAATTTTCAACCAATTCTTAACAAGAAGAGAGAATGTGACAACCTTTCTCTTTGTTAACACTTGTTATAGTACAGTTTAAGTCCAACATCTTGAGTAAGTTGAAATGTTACTTTTAGTAATAGCTAAATGTTCTTTTTGGTTTTCATTTGGTGAAGGATTCTTTAATTATATATCCCCTTAAGTATATGCACATTTCATTGACCTGCTTTCCTTTGTATATGTGAGCAGTGTTATTTCTTATGTGCTACACAAATAGTTGAAGGTTAATTAGCAGAATAACTATAAATAGTAATGCTGCCAGTCTCCTTCAGACAAAAAATTTTACAAAAAGTGTTTAAAGGTACTAGATGAATAGTAATTCTTATTGATAAATATGTGAGCTTTTGTATGTGTATGGTGCCGGGGAATTATGTGATCAGTTAATTTTGTTTTATGAAACTAGGATTTCAAAAGATGACACACTTGAGGAGTAGTATAATATGATGATTTATAGCATAGGAATACGGCTTGATAGTTCGGAAAATGTACTGTGAAAATAACAGGTTCAGTTTTGTGTTTTTCTGAACAGTTGGGTGTCATGACATTGCACATCAAAAGTGCTGAATAAATGGCAGCTATTATTATCAACCCTGTGTTTTTTATGCAGGTGGCACAGATATATCAGAGCATTGAATTTTCTCGTTTGACTTCTCTGGTTCCTTTTGTTGATGCTTTCCAACTGGAACGGGCCATAGTAGATGCAGCCAGGCACTGTGACCTGCAGGTATGTACTATAAGGGGACATTGAGGTGGGCAGAAGTTCCCTGAGGACTAGAAAGATATACACCTTTTGTTTTTTTTGCTTCTGGTATAATGGTGCCTTTTTAAAAAAAACTACTTTTTTATACTTAGCATTCTTGTTAACTTCTTAAATTCAGTTGAATTTTATTTTTATCAAGATACTTGTCGAATGATTTCATGTTAATATATCAGTTTCACCTGATAATTTAATTTCCTAAGGTTCGTATTGACCACACTTCTCGGACCCTGAGTTTTGGATCTGATTTGAATTATGCTACCCGAGAAGATGCACCAATTGGTCCTCATCTGCAGAGCATGCCTTCAGAACAGATAAGAAATCAACTCACAGCCATGTCCTCAGTGCTTGCAAAGGCACTTGAAGTCATCAAGCCAGCTCATATACTGGTATACATGTTTTTTTGGGGAAATGAATTACCCAAGTCGTGAGGTATTCTTATGTTTCAGGAGAAGGCTTGAGATAATATCTGAGAGAAGGGAGATTTGCTAGTTTTTATTCACTTCATAATTTTGTTATTTTACCAGATTTCTTAGATAAACAAATCACTTTAATACCTTTCAGCACAAAATACTGCAGAGGTAATGTAGTAACAGATCAGTAATATAAAACAGAAGGTTGTTCATATATTATGATCCCCAAAGAGTGAAGTACACAGTGATTGGGCTTCTCCTTCCTGCTTAAGTTGTTTGTGATCTTATTTAGTATTTCTTTGAGTATTTAAGGTAGATTTGGGCACAGAGAAAAGTTGACCTAGCAAGTAGAGATGGTTCTTTAGCTAGGTAATTGCCATCAGTGACTGAATAGGTGTAGCATCACAACAAATGGCTTGGGTAATGCTATCTTTTCTTATTAAATGAAAATACAGATAAGGGCAGTACATCAGGGTTATTTTGTACATTTTTTGATGTTTAATACCAGGGTCTGTTGCTTTTAATGTTTTTAAAAATGCATTTGTTTTTGAAGCAAGAGAAAGAAGAACAACATCAGTTGGCAGTGACTGCGTACCTTAAAAATTCACGGAAAGAACATCAGCGTATATTGGCTCGCCGGCAGACAATTGAGGAAAGGAAAGAGCGGCTTGAGAGTCTTAATATTCAGCGTGAGAAAGAGGAATTGGAACAAAGGGAAGCTGAACTTCAGAAAGTACGCAAGGCTGAAGAAGAGAGACTGCGCCAGGAGGCAAAAGAGAGGGAGAAGGAGCGGATCTTACAAGAACATGAACAAATCAAAAAGAAAACTGTTCGTGAGCGATTGGAGCAGATCAAAAAGACAGAGCTGGGTGCCAAAGCATTCAAAGATATTGACATTGAAGTATGTAGAATATCACTCATTAACAACCGAGTTTGACCCAGGTCTTCTGTTACTTTTGCAACCATAGTCGTTTGCCATTAGTTGGTTTATTTTGGGGTTTTAGGATATTTCATGCATTTTGTTACAGCTGTCTTGGTGAGTTAATCTGAGAGTAAGCATTTGATTTTAATTGGTCCATGCAGTTTGTAACCTGTGTCTTCATCTGTTGGTAATTTGGGTGGATGTAAAGTGGAGGAGGCAGAAAGAGATGTTTTAATTTAGGATTTAATTTAGAAAGCAGTGTGTCCTATTGATTGTTAGGTATATTGATTGTTAGGTATTTCTTTTATGTTTATATTAATGATGGTACATTTGAATTACCTTTTAGGATCTTGAAGAATTGGATCCAGATTTTATCATGGCTAAACAGGTTGAACAACTGGAGAAAGAAAAGAAGGAACTTCAAGAACGGCTGAAGAACCAAGAAAAGAAGGTAAATGAAAGGTCCAGTAAACTTTCAACACAAGTTAAAAGAAACTGGGTATAGTGGTATACACTTATAATTTTACTTAGGAGGCTGAGGCAGAAGAAGGCCAGTTTGGGCAACTCAGCAGGAATCTATCTCAAAATAAGGGCTAAGAAGGTTTGGTAGAATAGTTGTCTATTATATATGGGTTCAATCCCCAGAACTGGAAAAAAATGTTTATAAAAATGTTAACAACTGAATTTATTTTCATGCCATTCAGATTGACTATTTTGAAAGAGCTAAACGTTTGGAAGAAATTCCTTTGATAAAGAGTGCTTATGAGGAACAAAGGATTAAAGACATGGATCTGTGGGAACAACAAGAAGAAGAAAGAGTAAGTTTTTCATTTAACTAATGTTTTTGGGTTGTAAACTGTAATAAAACCTTCTGCCCTTGATGGGATTAGGGTTTCACAGTTGACTTATTTTGTTAAAAATGGTGATTTAATATCTGCTTACTAACAGATTAATGGAAAGTAGAAATTTTTACAGTAGAAGGGAGTATGGTGTTGCACGCATGTATTCCTATTTACTTGGGAGGCTAAGGCAGAAGGATCTCAGCTACTTTGTGAGACTCTGTCTCAAAATTTAAAAAAAAAAAAAAGGGTTGGGGAATTATCTAGAAGTAGAGCACCCCAGGCTCAATCCCTAATAGCAAAGAGAAAACGAGGGAAAAAGGAAAATTCATGGTCTAGATTACAAACGAATAACATAAAGAACAACTGGAATGCTTATTTAAAAAATAAGTTTATGTACACTTTATTTTTAAATATATATATATTTTTTTAGTTGGACACAACACCTTTATTTCACTTATTTATTTTTATGTGGTGCTGAGAATCGAACCCAGGGTCTCGCACGTGGGAGGCGAGCGCTGTACTGCTGAGCCACAACCCCAGCCCTTATGTGTGTGGCTCAGCGGTAGAGCGCTCCCTAGCATATGTGAGGCCCTGGGTTCGATCCTCAGCACCACATAAAAATAAATAAATAAAGATATTGTGCCCCAACTGCAACTAAAAAATAAATAAATATTTAAAAAATGTATCTCATAAAAATTTCTGTTATCATGCTAGTAAATAAATCCTATCTCTTAAATGATAGCTGCCCCAGGACTCCTTGTGCCTGAGTGCCTTCCTGGGGACCTGTGGACAAGAATCATAGTTATCATGCCACTTTTATGGGAAGATGGAAGAAGGAAGGAAGTAGTCATTGCTAATTGTTCGAGAATGTCTGGCAATCTGTTTGGAGTGATTTAGTAATCAGTAATAAATACTTTCAAATTTAACTGTATTGTGTACTTGCAGATTACTACTATGCAGCTGGAGCGGGAAAAGGCTCTTGAACACAAGACTCGAATGTCTCGAATGCTTGAAGACAGAGATTTATTTGTGATGCGACTCAAAGCAGCGCGGCAGTCAGTTTATGAGGTGAATTTACTGGTTTTAAGGAAAAGTTTATTTATAAGCTTTTTAGTTTTGCTTTAATATTCTCTGTAAACACAGTGGTACATTATGTCCTGAGTTAATGTGTTTACTAAAGAATATTCAAATGTTATTTTAGAAATATTTTGGGAAAGTTTTCATCTTTTCTAAATGTGTAAGTCTCTGTAGAGGTTTGTTTAATGTTTCAGAAATGAAACAGCAACTTTGAGATCAGAGTTCCTAGGCATTGTAATTTTAATAATTTTATCAACAATGTAAAATGTAAGAAATTTGGCATGCAGATGTGGTTGGAAATTCTGGTCTTTGTACTTGGAGGTTCCTTTTTTGGGTTCTAAGAAATGTAGTTTGTTTTTTTGGAAAAAAATATTATTTTTTGGTTGGGGGACTGTTTCATTGTAGGAAAAACTTAAACAGTTTGAAGAGCGATTAGCAGAAGAAAGACATAATCGTTTGGAGGAGCGAAAGAGGCAACGTAAAGAAGAGCGCAGAATAACTTACTATAGAGAAAAAGAGGAGGAGGAGCAGAGGAGGGCCGAGGAGCAAATGCTGAAAGGTAAAACCACATAGACATGGTTGGAGGGATGGATTCTGGCTGATGTCAAATGTAGTGTTTGGCAATCTTATTTCATAGAAAATATAGGAATCTAGATAGGTGAATTTTTAGCACTATAGTGAACTGTTTTCAGAATCCAGGTTGTTACATTGAGGATGCTGTGTCCTTTGTGAATTTGTTTCCACATATTTGATCCTCTGTTTTTTTTTTTCTTCCCCCTGCGGTACTGGGATTAAATCCAGGGGCACTACCACTGAGCTACATCCCAGCCTATCTATTTATTTATTTTCTGAAGCAGGGCCTTGCTGAATTGTCCAGGCTGACCTCAAACTTGGGCAACTCTTGCTTCAATTCCTGAGTCTTGTTTGATGTTCTTTTAATAATTCTTGCTTTTTGTTTTTCATCACTGAATTCTGTAAAGGTATTAACATTGATTGAAGAATGAATGCCAAATGAAGGCTGTCAAATGGTCCTCTGTCTGGAATCTCAGATTTGCAGGAATGGAGGGAGGGAATCTAATCTCATCCTTGTTTTTTTGAATATCTTATGCCATTTAGCTGGTTTATAATTTCCTTCTACTGTATGCATCCTGTTTATTTAACACTAGAAAATTAGGCCTAAAACTAGGGGAAAAGGTGCTGGTGAGAGGAACACTTAGTAACCAAATAAATTATATAGAGCGAGAAGAAAGAGAGAGAGCTGAGCGTGCCAAACGTGAGGAAGAGCTTCGAGAATATCAGGAGCGTGTCAAAAAACTAGAAGAAGTAGAAAGGAAAAAACGTCAAAGGGAGTTGGAAATTGAAGAGAGAGAACGCCGCAGAGAAGAGGAGAGAAGACTTGGCGATGACCCACTTTCTAGGAAGGTGAACACAGATATGATTTTCTGTTGTAATGAGTTTCATGTTTGTCAGCTAACGTTCTTTTTTTTTTAATTGCTCAAAACATTACAATAATCTTGACATATCAACTGACGTTCTTGCATGATACCTAGAAGGTGACGTGACACAAATTCTCTCTTGGGCAGAGATAAAACAGTCTGCATCAGCTGAGAGCTTGTTCAGTCCCACGCCCAAACCTCATGATTCAGAATCTGCAGTTTAATCAGATTCCTAAATGATTCAAACACTATTCTAAATATTTATAATACATATTGTCAAACTGACCTGTATTCTCTCTACAATCTTGTGTCTCATGAATTTCATTTCCTGATTGATTTTATGTTACCCACTTAATCAAAGAACTCTTAAGCTTGTTCATTGTGTCCCTACATTAGGCCTCTCATGGTTATTGCGTATTTCACTAGTTTCTACTATCACCATTTTTTTTATTGTAGATGGACACAATACCTTTATTTTTAACTGTTTTTATGTGGTGCTGAGGATTGAACCCAGTGCCTCACATGTGCCAGGCGAGTACTCTACCACTGAGCCACAACCTCAGTCCTACTGTCACCACTTTCTTCTCTTTCTGCTTTATGTATCTGATGCCTGTCTCTGTATTCTTCCTTTTCCTTGGAATGTGCCCACTTTGTTCTTTAGAGAAAACATTGTTTCAACATTTTCTTTTTTTTTCTTTCCTTTTTTTTTTTTGGTACCTGGGATTGAGTGTAGGGGTGCTTACCGTTGGACTACATCCCCAGCTCCCCCACTTGTAGAATTTTTAAAAAAATATATATTTTTTTAGTTGGCAGTGGATCTTTTTATAATTTTTATTTTTTAAATATCTTTTTTAGTTGTTGATAGACCTTTATTTTATTTATTTACACATGGTACTGAGAATTGAACCCAGTGCCTCACTCAGCTAGACAAGTACACTACTGTGCTCAGCCCCAGTTCCAACCCCTATAATTTTATTTAATTACATGCAGTGTTGAGGCTTGAATCCAGGGCCTCACACATGCCAGGCAAGTGCTCTACCAAGCACTCTATCACTGAGCCACAACTCCATCCCTAATTTTTAATTTTGAGATAGGGGCTCATGAAGTTGCTTAGGACCTCACTAAGTTGCTGAGTCTGGCTTTGATTGAATTTGGCAATCCTGCCTCAGCCTCCTTTGTTGCTGAGGGTATAGGTGTAGGCCACTGCATCTCCTGGGTCAACTTTTATTTTAAGAGAAATAGCTTGGCATGGCATTCTCTGTGCCACACCTGTATTGGATGCTTCTCTTTATGGAAGGACCTCATGCTATTACAATATGGTCTTTACTTTTATAATGTATATGGACAGAGTTTTGGGGCCCCGCCCCCAGATTGAACCAAAGGGTATTTTATCTCTGACCTACATCCCCAGGCCTTTTTAAATTTTGAGACAAACTCACTGAGTTGTATAGGCTGGTCTTGAATTTAATGATCCTCCTGTCTTAACCTCCCAGGTTGCTGGTATTATAGGCATGTGCCACTGCGCCCTATAGGATTTTTATCCTTGTTGCTAATTTCCAATTTTATTTCTGTGCATTCTAAAATACATTGTTAGGTTTTTGAGAATATTTTTTTCTGTTGGACACAAAAGTTTTGTATATATATGTATGAAACCAGAGATGCTGTGTTTTTTAAAACCTGTTATATATTTTTTTATGGGAACTTTATTTTTATGGGAATATACTTTTTATGGGAATATATTTTTTATGAGAAAAGAAAACAGACCTCCTGTAATTTATGATTTTAAAAATTCTTTTAGTTAGCTTTCCTAAATCCGTCTGTCTATACTTGTAGTCATTGTACCCTATTATAGTCATGCCCACCCCATGGCTATGAGGACATACCATTACTGTAATGCCTCTTTTTTTCATGCTGTCTGCTTCCATATTCTTGAGAGCCTTTTTTCTTTAAGGCAAATTTAAGGACTTTTCTCTGCTTATTTTTATTTCCTCTTCTTGTGGTTACCACTAATTTTCCCTAAAATTTATCTAAATTTTTATAGTATAAATTTTAGTTTCTACTCTACAGAACAAACCAAATTCTGAGCATGACTTACTTAGGTATTATTGCTGGGTATATTTTGCCTCAAGATCATTACAACCTTAGCAGTAAATTTTATGGCCATGTGAGCAACTGTTAGTTTATTTGTAAGGTATTTGTTTTATTTCAGTAATAATTAAGAAATATTAATTATTCTGTCAAAAATAATGTTATTTCAGATATTTCCAGTACGGTGGTAATACAGTGAACCAACACAGTAGATAGTGGGGGACACACCTGTACTGCACAATAAAATCAAAGGCAAATAGTTTTCCAGGTTTTCTTTTGTAGTGCTGGGGATTGAACCAGTGACTTACACATGCTAGGCAAGCACTCTACCATGGAGCCCCTCTCCAGTTTCTCCTCCTCCTCTTCCTCCTCCTCCTCCTCCTATATCAAATTTACAGTTTTGTCAATATGAGCTTTTAAATTTATTTTGTGTGTGGTGCTTAGGATCCAACCCAGTGTCTCATGCCTGATAGGCAAGTGCTCCCAGTCCTCCACTTTTTCTTGAGGGGAAAAGGCCCAACCATGTAAGCTGGGAAGCTTTGTTTAAACAAAAGAAAACAACAGAAAAATCTTTCTAGCAATTGTTTAGTGCTAAATATGTTTATACTGTATCATGTTTTCCTCTTTGCAGATACATTTTGGTTTTATTTTATATATTTTAGTTTGTTTTTTTTTCTTTTTCCACAGAATGTCTTTGTATCTCAAGAGATTTTGTTTCTTTCTCATACTTGAACAGTGGTTCAGTATTCTGAGTTTGGCCACTTCAGAATCATCTTTTATTCTTTTTAATGCATTATCACACAGGGGAGGATTCTTGTTACTGATCTTGGTCTTTTTTTTTTTTATTTATGTTTTAATTGTAGTTGGACACAATACCTTTATTTTATTTATTTAGTGTTGCTGAGGATTGAACCCAGGGCCTCACACCGCTGGCGAGCTCTCTACCGCTGAGGCACAGCCCCAGCCCTAGATGCTTTTTTAAAAAAAAAAAAATTTATTTATTTAGTTTTTAGGTGTAGATGGACACAACACAATGCCTTTATTTTTATGTGGTGCTGAGGATCAAACCCGGGTCCCGCCCGTGCCAGGCGAGCGCTCTATCGCTGAGCCACAATCCCAACCCCCCTAGATGCCTTTTTATTCCTTAAAAATTTCTACAGTTTTCTTTATCCTTAAAAAGAATTTAATCATTTCACTGATGATGTTAGGCTCATTGTGATTGGTCTTTTTTTTCATATTCACTGTTGGCATTTTTACTCTTAAAATCAGAGGTATAATTCTCCTTAGACAAGATAAGATTATATTAACTTAAGGAAGTTTCCCTCCCTTTTCTCTTCAAAATCTCTTTTGTGTGGTCACTTTAACTATCTATTTTAGTGCTGGGAATTGCACCCTGGATGCTTCACCACTGAGGCATATCCTCAACCCTTTTTTGCACTTTTTCTCTTCTGAGACATGGTTTTGCTAAGTTGCTTAGGGCCTTGCTGAGTTGCTAAGCCTGGCCTTGAATTTGTGATCCTCCCTCACCTCCTGCATCACACACTGTTACACATGTGTGCCATCATGCCGGCTGTACCCTGCCACCTTTTGTTGTTGTTGTTTAAGGCAGGGTCTCACTAAGTTGCTAAGGCTTGCCTGGATTTTGTGTTCTTTGTGCGCTTCATCCTCCTACCTAGCTGAGATTACTATAACTGTGTACCAACATTCCTGAATTGTCTTTAAAAATTTTTCTTTTGCTTTTTTTTTTTTTTTGTAGTAAGTTGTCTGAAATTCCTTTATTTTCATTAGCATGGCCCATTCCATTATTTGCTCTACTGACTTTAAAGTATTTGTGGTCAGTCCTGGTGGCACATGCCTATAATCTCGGCTACTTAGTAGGAGACTCAGACAGGAGGATTGCAAATTCCAGGTCAGCCTGGGCAAATTAGCTAGACCCCATCTCAAAATAAATAAAGATGGGGATGTAGCTCAGTGTAGGGAGAATACTGCTGGATTCAGTCTTAAGTACCACCCTCCTTGAAAGGGAATTGAGGGGGGCACAATATCTTATTCTTTGTTTTGCATAAAGATGACAAGAGTAAAATAAACATTGAAAGATAAAGAAGAGCACCTTGAAAAGGCAAAGTTGGAAAAAAGATGAAAAACATCTTTAAAGGAAATGTGAGGAGTGGGAGAAATGTGGTCTTTGGGTATGTATGTCCCCCTCCATTGGAGTGACCATGTTAGTTACTAGTTACATTGACTTTTTAATTTGTGTCCACTTGGGAAAGTCTTGGCACAGCCTCCCTCTTAATAGGCTAGAGTCATCCATGATAGCAGGAAAACAATTATTATCTGACTACATGTATCCTTCAGTGCTTCTCATCTATAGGCTGTATCTTCCAGAGAGCCTTACATACCTAATTATGGCTGAAGGTTATGTTGTAGGAGCAGGCAAGCTGTGTCAGAGGGTGCTCATTGAAATGTTGTGCCAGATTTTTAATGAAATACCAATTAAATATCTCCTGACACCCTTCCCATGATTTTTAGTGCAGTGCTTTCAAGAGAGAAACACTGTTAATCTAACCATTCTCTTAGACATTTCATTTATTCTACTCTTTTTTGCATGTGCTCAGTAGGAACTGTTTCAGAGTACTTGTTTTGTTTTTTCCCCCCACATCATATTTTTCAAAAGGGAATTTCTAGGCCAGTGGTAATCTGTAGATCTCTCAGGTGCTCCAGATGTGTACTCTCAGGGTGATTTCAAGTGGTGTTTTACCAGCTTATAAAAGCCATGTACAATATTTGAGAATATTAGTTTGGTTGTACTGTCAGTATTATTGCAAAAAAAAAAAAAAGAAAAGAAAATTTTAAGACATGCTTATATTTAAGGGCTTGAGGTCAAGATTGACTATGTTTGGTATTACCAGTAGTTGTCCTTATGAATCATTGTCACTGTGGTGCTTCTTGTTTGCTTTGCTTATGCAGGATTCTCGTTGGGGAGATAGAGACTCTGAAGGCACGTGGAGAAAAGGACCTGAAGCTGACTCTGAGTGGAGGAGAGGTCCACCAGAGAAGTAAGTAGAGTCATAGAATTTTTGTTATGGATCCTGGTAATACTCCATCGGGGTGTGTGTGTGTGTGTTTTTCCCTAGTACCTAGGATTATTGAACCCAGGGATACTTGGCCACTGAGCTACATTCCCAGCCCTTTTTTATTTGAAACAGGGTCTTGCTAAGTGGCTTAGGGCCTCACTAAGTTGCTGACACTGGAACTTGTGATCCTCGTACCTTGGCCTCAAAGGATTACAAGTGTGTGCCACCATACTTAACATCTACCAGTGGTTTTAAAAATAGGCTTATTTGTAGGGATGGAGAAAGGAAAAGCTGAGAATTATTATCATGCCTGATTCTTTATTTCAGATTTGTTAAATAGACGTAGCTGTCCTTGAAATAACTTCTAGTGGTAGACAAGAATGCCAGCTTTTTAGTTTCTGTTCAAAATGTAAGTTAAGAATAATCATTATAAAAGATTAGAAATTGCCAAGGTTCTTGTTTCCCCACTTTGCCCCGCCCCCCTTTTGGTATTGGTGATTGAACTTGGATATTTGACCACTGACACACATCCTCAGTCGTGTTATGTATTTTATTTAGAGACAGGGTCTCACTGAGTTGCTTGGTGCCTTGCTTTTTACTGAGGCTGGCTTTGAACTCATGATCTTTCTGCCTCTGCCTTCCAAGTTGAAATTACTTATGGCCTTGCTTTATTGCAGTTAATTCTCCTGTTTCACCCACCCAAGCCACTGGGATTACAGGCATGTACTACTGTGCCTGGGTGGTTTTTATTTTTTGCTGCTGGGGATGGAACCCAGAAGTGCTCTACCACTCAGCTGCATCCCCAGATCTTTTAATATTTTGAGAGATGATCTCATGAGTTGCCTAGGCTGGCCTCAAACTTGGAATCCTTTTGTTTCAGTTTCCTGAGTCCTGAGATTTTAGGTGAGCATCACCATACTGGCCTGAGGTTTTTAAAGGCAATAAAATAAAATACAATTCCTGAATGATGGGATGCTTTGTGAAAATACTTGACCTTAAAAATGTGTGGCTGTTCCTCTGTAGGGAGTGGAGACGTGGAGAAGGGCGCGATGAGGAAAGGCCTCATCGGAGAGATGAAGATCGACCCAGGCGTTTGGGAGATGATGAAGAGAGAGAGTCCTCTGTTAGACCAGATGATGATCGGGTGCCTAGGCGCAGCATGGATGACGACAGAGGCCCTAGACGTGGTCCTGATGAAGATCGCTTCTCTCGTCGTGGAACAGATGATGACCGTCCTTCTTGGCGTAATGCAGATGATGACAGGCCTCCCAGACGAATTGGTGATGATGACAGGGGAAGTTGGCGTCATGCAGATGATGATAGACCACCTAGACGAGGACTGGATGACGACAGAGGAAGCTGGCGAACAGCTGATGAGGACAGAGGACCAAGACGTGGAATGGATGAGGACCGGGCGCCCAGGCGAGGAGGTGCTGATGATGAACGATCATCCTGGCGCAATGCTGATGATGATCGGGGTCCCAGACGGGGCATGGATGATGACCGGGGTCCCAGGCGAGGGTTGGATGATGATCGAGGACCTTGGAGGAATGCTGACGATGATAGAATTTCCAGACGTGGTGCAGATGATGACAGGGGGCCTTGGAGAAACATGGATGACGATCGGATTCCTAGACGTAATGAAGAGGATCGGATTCCCAGACGAAGTGAAGACTCCAGACCTGGTCCCTGGAGGCCATTTGTCAAGCCAGGTAAAATTCTGGTATATAGACAACTAGTTGAGATGCTTTGTGGCATCTGATGTGTTTACATGCAGAAAATGAAATTTAAATGGATAAATGACATTCAGCTATATTATCATTTTCTGTTTATAAGTGGATCTTTTTCCATAAATGCCTTATGTAGTCAATTTCATGTCAAAAGTTTCCTTTGTTGTTCCACACCCCAAAACAGATACTGTCTTCTGTAGTGGTGTTGGGCTCATTTTCTCTCTGTTCAGTTGGATGCTGCTTTGAATGCTATTTTTCTGTTTCCATCACTTAAGTGTTAAGTGTTCTTCAGGTTCTATCTTAGGCCAGCCTTCTTGAAAATAGATCTTTAAAATGTACAGTTATTAAATATTTATGCAGACTCTTGTCCACCGTAGGATTATACATGGAAGAACTCTTTTCGTTTTTTTAGTTCTGGGCCTACTCCTCTTTTTCACTTTATGATCCTTCTATAGTTGTATGTGTCTATGACACATTTGTGACCATCTTTAGGTGATGTCTGCATATTGCACATTGGCAACAACTGCTTTTCACACATGGTACGTCTCCACTGGGAAACCTCACTGACATTTTAGACTCAACTTGTATAAAACTCCTACTTTTCTGTCGGCTCACCACTGTCTTAACTTTATAATCTAGAAATTTGGGAGCTCTCCTTTCTCTGGTCTCTTTCATCCTTTATTTTAATCTTTGATTCAGTTTAGTTCTGCCTTTTTGATGTTCCTTAAAACCACCCACTTTTGTATTCTATCTGCTTGAACTTGGGTCTGGGCCACCATAATTCTTTGAGGTCTTGCTTTTACCTGGTTCTACTCCTAATTCTTTTCTTTGTGCTGTAAAAAGCCATTCTAAGTTTGGATCTAAGCGAACAGCTTTCTCGTCTTTATCTTTGGTTTCTACTATCTTTATCTTTTCTGTTCTGACCCTGGGCAAGTGACCTTTGGGGCCTCATGTAATATGTAGTTAACTGTACAGTAGGTACTGAGGAGTCCTAGAGGAAATATAACATTAGGTTCCTTTGGGCCTCTGGTCACATTTTAGCCAGTCAGAATAACTATGTTTATGTGTTTTTTTCAGGGTACCTTTTTTGAAACATAATATTGCTTCATGAGCATAGAATTCACTGCCAACAGTACTGTAACTCATGTCTGAGCAAAGCTTTTTTGATACATAATATATTTTCTCCCTAAGAGATATCATTCATAGCCCTCTTGTGCTTGGGGATACTAGATAGCATTTCAGTAGTATGCTTGGGTTGTTTGAAACAGTGAAGTCAGTAGCAAACCACAAAGGTATGAAAAACATGGCACTAAATAAATAATCCCTGGAAAGGACACTTGTTAGAGTAAAAGCTGAAACCAGAAGGCAAAGTGCTGCCCACTTTAGCTGTGGTCGTGTATATTGGGCGACTCACAATTTTTGCTGCTTTGGAGTGACTGCAAGGTGCCACAAGATTAAATTTTGGGGTTGCTACTTTTTAGCAAGCACAGAATCTGATAATATTAAGACCGACTCGGCTATTGATAGGATTGAGCAAGACAATTTAGGCGTATGGTTTAGGTTAGTGCTTTGCCTATGGTAGTGTCTGTGTTGGTGACAGTAATAATTATTTGTGGTACAGCTATGATAAGTTTTCACTGAAATGTTTGCTTCCTTTGACCTCTTTGTAGATTTCAGATCCATGGCTACATGCAAGACACGGGGCAGGATCAAAGCATTTGTCCTTGTTTTATGACTAGATAGTGGGTGGTAAGTGGTGGATGACAGGAATATGAAAAGAGTCTTTTTTGGTGATGAAGATTCTGAGAATGTTGCAAGGTATAAATGACTCATAATTTGGGCTTTAATACTCAAGGAAAGCTCTTTAGGTTTTCTGTTAAAATGAACAGTCTGCTTATCCTCAGGACAAATTGTATACCCCAAACCTTTGCTTACAGTAAAAATTCAATGATATTTTTATTTTACGGAACATAAACCCAGGTAGTCTATGCAGTGACACACAACAGCTTTAGGATTTTTCTTTTTAAATGAAATTGGAGTGTCTTCATCATTCTAAATAATGAGTTAATGTCAACATACCTTTATGATTACTGATCTGTTTCTTGAGTGAAAAAATATTTTGCTGCTTATTTTTTAAAAAAATAGGTGGATGGAGAGAGAAAGAAAAGGCCAGAGAAGAGAGTTGGGGTCCACCTCGAGAATCAAGGCCATCAGAAGAACGTGAATGGGATAGAGACAAAGAAAGGGATAGAGACAATCAAGATCGTGAGGAGAATGAGAAAGACCCTGAAAGAGAGAGGGACAGAGAGAGAGAGAGAGAGAGAATTTTAACATTTATTTATTTTTTCTTAGTTCTCGGCGGACACAACATCTTTGTTGGTATATGGTGCTGCTGAGGATCGAACCCGGGCCGCACGCATGCTAGGCGAGCGCGCTACTGCTTGAGCCACATCCCCAGCCCCAGTTTTAATATTCTTTTAAATACTCTTCGTGTATTCCAGACTGTGTTTTAAGAAACCTTTCTTTCTCATTTATCTCTTAAATCATGTAATAAAATTTTAGAGTTCATATAATTGAATTATCTCTTTATGAGACAATGTTTTAAACTGTGTGTAGCTATCTACAGGTTATATAAACTGGAAATGAAACCAGCGTGGGTGCAGTATCTGAGGTCCACTTAGGAGTTTAAACCTTGTCCCTTATATATTCATAAACTATGAATGGGTACGATGTGTTCACTTAAAATTGCCTGTATAGTTTACCTTCAGCAAGAATTTGTCATTTTAAATGGTTACAGGGATGAAGGTGGCTGGAGAAGAGGACCAGCTGAGGAATCTTCGAGCTGGAGAGATTCAAGTCGCCGAGATGACAGAGATAGGGATGATCGTCGTCGTGAGAGAGATGATCGACGTGATCTAAGGGAAAGAAGAGATCTCAGAGATGACAGAGACCGGAGAGGGCCTCCCCTCAGATCAGAACGTGAAGAAGGTATGAATGTTATTTATGCTGGAGTGTTGGAGAACAGTCATTCTGGCAGTTTGGGTTTTATGTAGTTATTTTGTAAATAATGCATCAACACCCCAAACCAGATAAACAGTCTATTTTAGTTTAGAACTTGTGATTCTCATTCACTTAATGGTCAAGCTGTGACCAAGCTCATCTCTAAATTTAAAGTACATTAATAGACCAAATTGGATAATGAGCAATATGTAGTGATGAAATTTATTTAGCAAAAAGGAAGAAGCAGTTTAATCAGTTACTTTAGAATTAAGATCCTGAAAGATTAGCACAAAGTTTAATAATTCTTTCTCTGAAATTTTGACAGTTGAAACGTTAAAAAATATTTTAATGTATTTAATATGCCCATTGCACTTAAGTACTTGTTCTCACATATTATTAGTATTTTTTATTTGTTTATTTATCCATTTTTTGGTAGTTGTAGATGGACAGTGTGCCTTTATTTATTTTTATGTGGGGCTAAGGATAGAACCCAGTGTCTCACATATACTAGGCAATTGCTCTGCCACTGAGCTATAGCCCCAATTCCACACTTTTAGTATTTTGCCTGTACAGCAGTATTATAAGTTTATTCTTACAGCCATAATTTAAAATTTTATATTTTTATGGCTAATTTGTAGTTAAATTTTTTCAACAAGAGCCCCAAATGCTTTCAATTTAACAATGTCCATTCACCTAGTATCCTCCACTCTGTGCTGGGGATTGAACCCATGGCCTTGTGTATACTAGGCAAGCAGTTTACCACTGAGCTACACCCCCCAGTCCTTTTAAAAATTTTTGGGAAAGGGTCTTGCTAATGAAGTTTAAAGTTGGCCAGACTGTCCTTGATCTTGCAATCCTCCTGCCTGACATCAGAGTAGCTGGGATTATAAGCCCATGGTGACATACCCATCAGGTCAGCTGGAGTTTTATCACTTTGTATTAAAATTTTATAACTACTAGTATATTTCTCAGGCCAATGATTTCTGTTTGTTTTGAAATTTTGAGTTATATCTCTTAAGTATGTTAAAGATTTTTTTTAGAAATTATAGTCAAAATAATTAAAATATGTGGAACTTTTATTGATTTTTTTTTTTTTTTTAAGTTGTGATTCTGTACTGTTAATCTTCAGTGTGGGAAGTCTATTTCTCAGGCCAATGATTTCTGTTTGTTTTGAA